ATAGTGAATAGTCGATGCAATCGTGCGCGACAGCCACGGCATTGAGGCCAGCCGCAAAGCCGTGCCGCGCGTGGCTCTTCTATATACAGAGATAATCCATAATCCTTCAATTATTATCGAATTACAATAATTATGGCCGTACGTATAATACAAATGCCCGATTCTCTCGATCGTAGCGATAGAAACGGCGCGTCGCAAAGTCTTATTTTTGTTCGAGTAGGTGTATTTTATTAAAGTTATAATATATCAGTCATATCTGATGGACGCCAATACCACTGACAATAAGACATTTGGTGTATCGTCGATCACAACAAGACAGAAGACATAAATTGTTTTTCTCATGTTACAACTTGGATGCTATATTTCGTCTAGAACCAGTGTTCAACCCCCTTCGATCATTTTAGACTTTAATTTACCGAAGTAGAGTAGTTTCTCTCTACCCTTTTTTCTTCGATGTCGCGAACGATGTCGCACTCGTCGTACGTTGTGTCCATATAACTTGGCCGACCACTTCAAAAATCAGGAGATACCCTGGCGAACACATCTTACCCCTCGTCCACCAAAAGTCGACTCTCTCTCTCCCTCCCTTCCTCTCCCTCTCTCTCTCTCGTTTCTGTCCCACCAGATCGTTGCTGAGTCGCATCGATGTTGGTGCTCCCACTCTAGCTCTGAACTCTGGGAAGTCACACGCACACACTGGCAAATAACGCCCATGCAGCCAGTGTGGTAGGCGTGGCCATCTTGTCATTTGTCTCTTCTACTTTCCCCGAGGCGTTAGGGGATCCCCGGGATGGCGCTCTCTGTTCCTAGCTTGACGTATGTACTGCCGCTACAACCCCCGTTTTCGTATCGCGCTCTCTTCGTTTTCCGCGCGCCCGCCGCGTTCTCCACCATCGAGTGCTTTAGAGCCGCGCATCCCCCCTCACCCGTTTACCCATCATACCCACCGATGGCCATTCTCCATCTCTCTCCCCTACATCCATCGCTCTCTTCCACACACTCTCTTGGAAGACGCTACCTCTCTCTTCTTCCCCCGCGTCATTCGTTGCGTGACAACTTCTTGACGCCAGTCACGACGTCCTCGGCTTCCCTTTGCCGACGACGATTCTCTTACGAGGATCACGCACGGCCCACTTCGTCTCTGACCCTTTCGAATCTTGTTCCCCTCCGTGATAAGAACAAGTCATGTCTTCTAAGTAGTTTCAGAAATAACCAGTAGGTTATTTGGTTATTGTAATATTTATCGATATTATATAATAAATGGAGAATATGACTGAGTTCAATTTGCAATTCGAAACTATTCTAATTTGATGGATTTTAAAGCTAGAAATGAACTATCGTTCGCAGCTGATCTTGCATTTGTCTTTCTGCTTTGTTGCCTTCAAACTTCAGGCATTTGCAGTTTAAACCAAACGTTATATAAACATCAACACAGCTTTAAAAAGATCTATCTGAACTTTATAATATTTATTTGAATAATAAACGATGGGACGAATGTACGCCTTAGATTATTGCCTGTTGCATCCAAGATTATTTTCGAGATTATCTCATGCTCGATCCAGCTCATTTAGGATAAGAAATCACTGAATCGCCGGAGTAATGGTATAATAAATTATAAATTCTCGAACTAATCGCGCGTGAATGTGATATCAACCATATCATTTGACAGTAGATTAGACAGTCGGAAATTCGCTTCTCCTCGAGATCTCTCGCGCACGCGTGCACATACGAGTGGTAAACTCGAAGCATTATTGTGATCGAGAGTCACACCTCTTGGAACCGAATAATATATAATACGCCCAATATAGACGATTGCAGATGTCACTGCAGGCCGATATTTGCTCCGACTGATAAACCGAGCGATAACAGCTCGGTACCGGCGGTCTCGATTTTAAGCACGACTTTAGTGTCAGACAAATTCACGAGACGCGATCGCAAAGTTACCGAATCAATAGCACAATTATATTCAAAATAGAGCAACAATTATGAATTAATTAATTATAATTATAAATATAAAAAAAGATTGATTATACATATTATTTATATGTATATATCATAACTACTCGCGCGATTACCATGAGATATCTGACGTTTCTTATTGTTAGTATTATAAATCATTATTGCAGACAGAGTTATTTAGAAAGAATATATAATAAATACATAGCGAAAGATTGTAAAAATATTATATACACCCACTTCTTTCCTCCATTTTTTTTTTTCTTCTAGAAATTACGCCGGGAGAACGGCAAGATCAACTTTTCACAACTGCATAAAGATATTTAAACTGTCCTCCTATCTATTCTTTTATTTGCATGCGAAAGTTTTCAGATAAATAAACAGGAATATGTATATAGTTGTGTATTTCTTACAAAGGCAAAAGGTAATCGTCAAATTTCACCGGCAACGAATCGCGATCTTTCGTGGTCAAGGCGGTACGAGGTCTCTCAGTTGCAAAAAACAACAAACAATAATCGTCGTAGTACAGCAAGATCCGCAAGATCGCCAGCGCTAGTCCAAGAGAAGGGAAGAGAGAAAAAGGGAAGAGAGACCACGTGTGCGTGTGCGTTCCAAAGAGGCAAGCACGCCGGCTACTGTCACCACCGTAGGAGAGATGATGCGGGGTCAAAGGTGGGGTTGGAGTCCGAAGGTAGGGATGGACCACAAGGGGTGCGCGACAGAGTGATACTGAGCGTTAACCAGCGTACGACCGCCTTGGCTGACTATCCCGCGAAAAGAGACGCGAAAGATCGCGGCAGCGTATAAAATACAAAGTGATCGAGGACGAGAAAGGAACGAGGAAAATAATGACACCAGATAGGATTCTAGTTGCACCGCAGGGGGAAATCATGCCGTTGCTACAGTCTAGATACGAGACAGAAATTCGGCAGTAGAGATCGCGTCGAGATACGAAGAGACAGGAGTAATTCTGGAAGAAGGGATGCTGGGTGAGAGAAAGACGTTGTGGGAAGATTGGCTGGAGGGAGCGCGGAGGTAAGAGATCGCGAGATAGCGGGTGAGAACCCGCGCTACGTGGACAAGGACGGCGCGTATACGATCGCGAGAGCGGGCGGACATGAATCGCGGATGAACGGCATAGAGAGAGAACACAGCTGGGTCTGATCCATGCGAGAGGGAAAAGGAACGAAGCGGCGGCGCGAGCACAAGCGTGAGAGATCGTGCAAAGGGGCGATAGAGAGCGAGGGGTGTCGGAGAGCGAGCGAGACGTTCTAGGTGGGGAGTTCGCTCCGCGGATGCGGCGGCGAAGAGAGAAGAAGCGGATGGAGGGGAGTAAGAGCGAGCGAGCCGGAGGGAGAGACGCAGTCAGACAGTCAGGCAGGCCGCCCGGCAAGCAAGGAAGGCAGGCAGGCAACCAGGCAGGCAGCCAGGCAGGCAAGCTAGCTAGCAGGCAGCCAGTGCACCAGCCAAGACCACTAGATCCGCTTGGCTTACCGACTTAGAGACTTAAGCCGGCAGGCAGTCCGAAAGGCTCAACCGGCTAAGCCTGGCAGACCCACCTACCAACCGACTTACGCCGCGGTAGCCACTACGCCGCGTTCCATCCACCGGCAGGAAAATCGGGATACACCGCTGCGACCGGCGGCACCGCCGCCGCCTTCTTATATTTTCCTCCATCACCGTCTCCCGCGCCGCGCTTCTCCTCTCTAACGTACGTTAAGGGTGGAGGTTGCGAGTAGTGACGAGTGCCGCGCGGACATCATCATCATCATTGACACGCTCGTGCCGACGACGACGACGGCAACGTCAACGTCGTTGTCCGCGCCCGCGCCCGCGGCCGCGGCCGCGACATCCGACGACGGTCGCGGGGAGAAGGCCCCGTCGTCCTCGTGTCACGCGCCAAACCGCGTCTAAGTCCACGCAGTGAAGTCTCGGAGTGGAAGAAGAGATATCAGGAACCGAAAGTGGATAGTATAGATCGTGGTATCGCGGAGGTGTCGCATTCGTTCGTCGCGAGCGTCAGATTATCGACGTTACTTTGATCGGTGACGATAGATTGGTTGGTTCTTGGTGAACTCGTCTTGTTGAAGAGAACAATTAGCAAAAGTGCTCGTCGTAGTGTTAAGGATACTCAATGAAATTTTGGTTACATCTTTCCTGTCAACCATCTTAACCGTGGTAACTTCGAGTCGTGAGCGAACCTGCTTTACGAACGTTTTGCCGAAGAACTCGAGCGAGAAACGTAAAAACGTCAATTTCGAAAATTGGGAATAGTTTATAGTGACAGTCTATCAAAGTGAAAGAGAATTAATATAAGGTCAAAAAGATAGAAGAGTAAAAAAGAAATGAAAGAATTCATTGGAAGATGTCATCTGTGAAGATGATAGCGCTGATAGTTTAACCTACTTTGAATGACGAATTTTATAACTCTTCGCTTTTTTCTTACGTAACGCGGCGACGGTTATCTAATTTATCAGTCCTTCATAACGCGGGCGTTATCCACGCCCGAGCTGCTTTTCGGAGTTTTGACGTGAATTTGCGATACTCTACGTAATTTCCGTCAATCCATCTCGAATGCCGACGGTGCGAAATATCGTAAATACATCGTTACTAAAGAAATCTTAGCGCGAAGAGCGACGACATACTATAACGATCTCTTGAAAGATCACATAAACCACCACAACCGTAGTTTCCTCGCACATCTATATCGAAAAACTTCATCGATACCTGATTCCGACAACCACTGCACATCGGATTTCCAGCCGACGGAGGCTCTGACAGAGCCTCAGGTACATCAAAACTCCGCCTTCTCTTTGGAAAAAAACAAATCTGATGTTCTCAACTAATTATCGTCTTTAAAAAACGATCACGCAAATTTTCGCCGACGATACGATCCGATCTACGAGACAGGGGAGACGCTTGAATGTGTCCCTAAGACAAGAGGTGACGTGCAAACCGGCGTTAATTCGCGGCCTCTCGCGGGCCAGGTTGATCGTGTTATCGAGTTGTAAGGAACAGTCAACACGACGTTAACCTTCTACAGTATGGACCGGGGCGGCGGGGCCGGGGGGAGCCTCGAACTCGCCGGGGGCGGCGGCGGTGGCGGCGGCGGCGGCGGCGGCGGCGGTGGCGGCGGCAGCGCGGATCTATGTCTTCAGGATCTCGTGATCGGGCCGACGAGCGGCCTCTCGGTGCAGCATCATCAGCACGCGGTCGCGGCAACCGCCTCGATGGCCAGCCTACACGGCGACCATCTTCAGGGAGCGATGCACCATCATGATCTCCACGGCAACTCGCATCACGACACGTCGATGCTGCACAATTCCAGCCACCAGCTGCACCACGAGCCGCTGGAGAAACTTAAACGTGGTGAGTCGTTCACAATACTAAAGACGATCGGCGCTCTTCGATCGTGATGCGACGGGATTAGCGGGCGCGCGATCAGTGATTTATTTTATACGGGCTGTATATCATCCAATTGTTTTCATGAACAAACAGGGCACATTCAATATTTTTACGAGAATTAACCTGTATTTATTATTGTAAACATCCCATTGTTTATAGCAGCTTGATGAATTATCAGATTTCATCATTGTGAGTGAGATAAAATAAAAAAATTATCGCTTGGCAAACATCGGATCGACTTGATTTTAGTTTGTACAAAAACAATGATCTATTAATGTCTATTTCTCGTAAAATAGCTGATTTACCCTGATATACGTACGCATGTAAGTGTTGAGAAATCATTTACATAATCTTTTTCCAAACAATAACTACGTCGGAGATTATGCGATTTTTTCATATCTAGCAATACACGTCTATATAAACGTATCACTTTAAAATTTAATGTATTATGATCGGAAATGTCACTGCATAAAATGCATGTGTGCATTTGACGTGCATGATGTGTAATGAATCGAATTCCATTCTTTGAGATAGTGATTAAAGGATTAAGCGCGATAATGTCATGGTAAAGTGGCTTCGCGAACGAGTTCAGTAATTACAATCGACAATGTTTCCTTTGTATATCGATTCCGACGAGATATGAGATTTGCTTCTTCCACATTGTCGCCGCATCGCGCGTTATCAGAATGTAATCGCTTGTAGTTGCCTTGTCGTTTGATTTTGTTGTTGGCGATACTATCGATCCTCATCTTTTTCGCGCGATAAGTATCTGATTATTTTCCTGACTTTGCATCGAGCGCGAGAATCGCGTCGAGTCCGCATTATCGTGCATCACCGCCGAAAACCTCGTATCACAGACGTGTCGCTTGCGAAACAAGATTGATGCGCGGTGACATTGCACAAAAGTAGGAAATTTTCTTTATTCACCGCCGTTTACGACGAATGCCGCGATAAACAAATAAACACGCGACGCGTAAACAACCGTGGTCGATGAAATAATTCGACGAAAAGAAACGAAACGATTCGATTGGCGTGAATCAACGCGATGAATCGCGACGTATGACGTATGATCTGAAATATTCAATTACACGCTACCTCGCCGATAAACCTCGATAAGAAAGCAAGATTTAATATATTACGCCTCCGTCATTGCGCTCTTATCGAGCGATCTGTAATCCAAATGCGTTCAACGCAAATACTTCCAATCTTGCAAGAGGAAACATTGAAATCAAATAAATATTATTTTTGTTATGATCGATTGTTAATCAAGTTATTGTGTACCGTGAGCGTGCGAAATTCTCTTAAACAAAATAGATGATCATTTAATAAACACATGTAATGATATATTTAATAAATTAAAATTAATACATTAATATAGGACCGGTCTCGTTCACATCTGTCGGTATTTTTTTTTTTTCAATTGCAATATCAGAAAAGACTTGTCTGACGAAATGGCGTTGATTCTTGTCAAGTACTAGAGCAGAGATAAAATTTTAGGAATATCTTTGATAAGCACCGTTCCCGTTATGTTATTTCACTCGTGAGATACGAGATAAAACTTCAGACTCTTATTAGGTGTGAAGTGACAGCGCGCCACCACTGAAAAGTTAGAAACTCGAAATATTCGCGGATTATTTTTGTGGATTACACAGCAATATATGTATCTTTTTGTGGCAAAGATAAATAATTTAAAAACTATTCGTCATTAAACAAATTTACTTGTCTAATCTTCTTAGGATCAATAAATATTATACTCTCTCTCATATTATCAAATTTATTATTTCATATTATTTGAAGTTTTTTTTCTGTCATATTATATTACTCTTTTTCGTATATTCTCTTTTTCCCGTTACAATTCTTAGCAGAAATTTGGTTAAAATACAAATGTAAATTTTATTCATTTATAAAATCACGTAGAGAGAAATACTCAATATTCTTAGCGCTATAAGACCTTGATCGAAAATATTGAGAATAGACAGATTTCAAAGTCGAGTTTCGTAATATTCCTTGTTCGTCGTAAAGTATTATTGTTCGACGGCGTACGAATTCATGCGAGTATCCAGCACATACGTCGAAGACGAAGACGATTCTCTCTGGTGGCAGCGCTACCACCTGTTTTGTGATTCATTAACTCACCGGCTTATCGGGATAAGGTAGACTTATCCAGGGCTCGAACCCGACACTGCGGCTAAACCCGATCTTATTCCAATGGCATCCTACCTATCCCCTTTTCAGTTTCAGTCCTAGATCCGACGCCGACCACTCTCATCACTTAGAAACGCAGGTATCCTTACGAGTTTCATTCTTCTCGCAAATACACATTGAATTTTTTTTCGCGTTCGCTCTTTCGACGGTAAACCGGAACTGAGTCGATCTGCACATGCAAATAACGTAGATCCCGTGCGGATGAATTATATTAAATCTTACGGTTTTATCGTCGCTCATGAATCTGTTCAAAAAGCAAAACTCGATGTGCAAATTTACGTTAAATCTTACGATTGCAAAGGCTATTCATATAATATTACTCACGCGATGCATTAAGCGTTCTCTACAATTTTTCATTTAACTATCCTTTCATTATCCGATTTCGCGTTGCACATTATTTGTCGCCGCGCTTGATCGGTCAACAAGTACGACAGTAATAAATCCGGAGCGGCCACGGGCGAATTAAAATTTCTATCGGGAACGCTACCCCACATATTATTGTCATTAATATCGCGGCGGGATTACGCGAGCTCTATTAATACCGGCACGTCGATGGAAATTAATGCCAGCGTCGACCGCGATAAAAGCAACGCCGCCCTCTAATGAAAACGATGACGCGGAAATAGAGACGTCCGGTCGAACCGATCAGACTGAGATTACCGGCGAAATATACGACGAAAAGAATCTCGCACGTCGGGGAAAATCTGTCGTACTTCTCCTTACTTGCCTTGACGGTAGGCCCAATATTTTGCCAACAGGGCGGCATACGGTCTACTCCGATATACGCATACGGCCCCCGTTAGTCATTAACTACCCCTTTATTATCGCGCGGCCTTGCGATCGGACTAGCAGATGCGCCGAAGTCAACCCTTGGTTACCCCTCTCCCAAGCTAATGGTGTTGACAAATTGCTCGGCTAGCCTCTAGCCTCCCCGGGGAATGCGCCTGCAAAAGTCTCCTCGCCGCAAACTTATAGGCGTTTAGACGGGAAATTGGACCGCAGAATTCAGATTTCCACGTGTGAAATCAAATTTCTTGTGCAACAATCTCGGAAACTTCCGAGTTCCTGAACGTAACAAAAACATTCGTGCAAGGACCAAAGTATCACATTTGTTGAAATTGTTTTATTGAAGGACATTTGCGGGCCCGTATTTAAAAACTCAATAATGATAATAATCAATCTGTAGTGCAAATATTTTAACAATTATAAAATATATATTATATGTAGCATATTTTTTACTTGTCTTATTAACAGTTATATACTTGTAAATCATGGGTATTTAGAGCTATTCATGTATTTGGAAAAATTTTACTATTAGTAGTAACATATTATTGATGTTATAATTTTTTATATTTTTACATAGTTAATCGAACAATTAACAGATGCAATTTCTCGCATTTCATGCAATTGTTCTTTTTTTTTTTTCATTATTCACGATCGGCGGACGATCAGGTCTTTCGATGAGCCTGATGTTACGGTTCGAATTTCTCGATCAGCCAGCCAATCGTGGCGATCCTTTAAGCGCCGGGGACCAAACTGGTGGGATCAACATAGAAATGAACTGATTTCCTTCCCATTATCTCAGCTGCTGCGGTAAGGCAGGTTCCTGTCTATCTCAACAATGAGGTTTTGTGTACTCAGTAGGTTTCAACCGCCGTCGGCTAGGGTAGGCTCGTTCCCGAGGGTTGTCTCATCAAGAAAATTTCTGTGCGTGCCGATACGTGAGAACCAAACGATCGGTCAATGATTAAAATGTATTACAAATGTCACGATCGTCAAAGCAAGTGCTATCGTTATATTTTCGAATTCTGAATTATAAAATATTTTTGTATTGTTTCTTATTTTTTTTATTAAGTAATCATATCTTTTTATTTGTTATTTATTTCTATGTTTATTCATCTAATCTAATATATATTTCCAGCGCCAAATAAAAGATGTATTTATCATTACATCTTTTCATTCAATTTTTTTATTTTATTATAAAATTTTGTTCTTAATTGCGATTAAACTATGACTATAAAAGAAAAATTTAGATTCTTTTTAAAAAATCGTTTTTTTTAAGAAAGATGATATGGTTCAATTTTCTCGAAAATCTTGCATAGAAAGGAAAAACATGTCACGTCATAATTTTTCATTGCAATGGGATATTCAATACCCGATCGTCCGTTTTCGGCGTCTTCTCGAATTCTGACCTTCGAATTTTCAGAGCGCCAGGCAGTCTGAACCCGCGGAACCTTTCAATCTGTAGAATTTTTTGAAATATCTTCGTCACGCCCTCAAAGTATGAAGGAGCCACTCGTTCTCGGGTTACTTATCGGTTCCATGTGCTTTTGCCGCGTCAAAATGAAATTACACAAATTGCTTGACAAGCGATAATGAATTCTATCCGCAGAGCTGTGGACGCTTCTGACGTTTTCATATTAAGTAAACAAACTAATCGGTTGTACCATTCTCGTGATTCTCTGTCGCGAAGAAATAGATTTCCACAAAACACTCCAATAGATAATTTTTTTCGAACACTCTATATAATTAGGTGATTAAAAAATACTTGTCCAAATCGCTAACATCATCAAAACGAATAGTAATATTTTTTATGCTAGTTATCATTAAAAATAAATATTAGAATTGATATTGTGGGAAGCTAAATTAAAGAGAAAATTAAAATTGATTAAAATCTGTGTTTGCATTTCTTTTCCGATATCCTCCAACAATAGATTTTGTGTAACGACATCCACCGTCGTGACGCGCCACACGAG